CCTACCGGCCCCGCCTATAGTTTCCTTGTATAGATGAGGCTGAGGGCTGCCCTTGTACCCATATATACGTGCACCGTGCACCCGATCAATATATCGAGAGTTGCATTGCCTTCAACACCGATGACCGACGTCGCCGGCGGAGGGGAGCCGCCGGAGGACGGTGCTGGAAGATTGGCCTCCTGGCGGCGGCTAGGGTTCCAAGCCGCCTGGACGGCGCTTTAGATTGCTATATAGGTTAGCTATATAGTTCGGTCCTATACTCTGTATATGTGATCAACTACGAAATACGAAATCAGAAGGAAATAAGAGCACAGGAGCGACACGTTCCGGTTGCAATAAATCGCTCCGTGTGGAATCGATCCAGCGGCATATATATCGATTGAATCGCTACGGAAGTATCCCCAGAAATAGGCCGTCGAGCTCTGCGTCAACACGTACGCCTACTCGGTTTGTGCGCACGGTGACATACATCGATCGGCAGCGCATTGACCTAATCGAAAAGAAGAATTATTCTTCCGCTGCGCTGCTTCTTCTTCTACTTCTTCGGCACGCCAAACATGGTGCAGGTGCAGCCGGACGACGTGGCCTTGATCGTTTCTTTCGCTGCTTTGTGCTGGTCGGCGTGGAGGTACTGCAGCGTCGACCCCACGGCTGATCTGCTGCCTCGGCGACCCTACAGACTGAGGACCTTGGACGCCGGCAGTGTTGATCCGGTCATCGGCCGCGACAACGAGATCGACCGCGTCATCTGCATCCTCTGCGGCCGGACCAAGAACTGTGCCGCGCTGGTCGGAGCCGCGGGAGTCGGCAAGACCGCCATCGTCGAGGGCCTTGCCAAACGGATCGCTGCCGGGACGGTACCTGACCTTCTCGTTGGAGCCCGCATCGGGGTGCTCGATGTCGGGGCGATGATTGCTGGGACCAACTTGCGCGGCATGTTCGAGCAGCGCTTGAAGGAGGCCATCAAGCAGGCCGAGGATGAAGGGGGCAAATTGATCCTCTTCATAGACGAGATGCATATGCTCATTGGCGCAGGCGATCAAAGTGGCACCACGGACGCCGCCAACATCATCAAGCCTGCGGTTGGCCCGTGGTCGCCTCCGCTGCATTGGTGCTACCACCTATCAAGAGTATTACAGGTACGTTGAGCGGGATGCGGCGCTCGAGCGGTGGTTCCAAAAGGTTGAGGTCGGGGAGCCGAGCATGCGAACGACAGTTGCCATCCTGCGGGGGCTGAAGCACAAGTACCAAGAGCACCATGGCTTGAAAATTGACGAGGAGGCACTTGTTGCTGCTGTAGAGCTCGCTGCCCGTTATATTACTGGTAAGTTTGTCATATCGTCGAGAATTGATATGAATTAGTATTACTCTTGTAAATACGTGCATCTTGAAGAAAATTGTGGATTTTGTTTTGTTCCAGGTCATAAATTTCCTGATAAAGCAATTGATCTCATGGACCAGGCATGCACTACCGTAAAGTTGCACGCCAGCAAACAAAGAGAAATAAATGCACCGGGCGAGCTAGTCGTTGGTCCAGCTCACGTCACGCAGGTCATTCCTAATCACATATTCTGAATACTTTCTATTATTTCATTATTATATGCTCTTAATTACCATTTTCTAATACTGTTTGAAGGTTGTGAGCCGATGGACTAGAATTCCTGTCACCACACTTGATCAAGGCGAGGAAAAGCTGGCCCATTTAATAGATAGATTGCATGAGCGGGTTGTTGGCCAGAATGAAGCAGTTAATTTGGTTGCGCAAGCAGTGTTAAGTTCTGGGGTAGGTCTTGATAAATTTGATCAACCGAGATATGTTCTTTCCTCTTTTTGGGCTCGACCGGCGTTGGAAAGACAGAGCTTGCCAAAGCACTTGCCGAGAAGTTATTTAACAACGAGAAGATGTTAGTTCGCTTTGACATGTCCGAGTATGCTAATAGTGGATCGTTGTCGCATCTCATTGGAGGATCTCGAAGGTATAACTCGTACACTTTTTGCGTATGTGTTTCTTTTTGGCACTTCATCATCATGCCTCACGTCTTGGTTTCACTTACTAAAGCTATGAAGGAGAGGGACAACTCTCAGAGAAAGTCAGGCGCCAACCATATAGTGTTATCCTTTTTGATGAGGTGGATAAGGCAAATTCCTCGATTATCAATGTTTTTACTCAACTCCTCGATGATGGTATGTTGATTGATGGAAAAGGACGGAATGTAGATTTCAAGAATACAATCATCATTATGACTTCAAATCTAGGATCAGAGCACCTGTCAAATGGACTGACCGGAGAAAGCACAATGGAAAATGCACGTGATCTTCTCATGAAAGAGGTCCGTATATCCCAAATTATCTCCCTTGTAATCTCATCGATGATTTTTCACAAAAAAATGCCATCAGTGAATGATAATCATATATAATACTTGTACATGCAGGTTGAGAAATGCTTCAAGCCTAGTCTTATCAACAGACTGAGTGAAATTGCAATATTTGAACCGCTTTCACGCAACGAACTTAGGGAGATTGCAAATATCCAAATTAAGAGAATCGTTGCCATGATGGCTAATAAGGGATTTTCTTTATGTGTGACTGATGCTGCCTTGGAAGTAATTTTATCAGAATCACATGACACAGTAAGCATACCTTCTTCTATCTCTTTTTTATTTACGAGAAGCATAGCTTCTTATCACAATCGCCACAAGATAAAGATCTAATATCCAGTTTTAAAAATGAAAAAACTTATCGGAGGCTCTTTTGAGTAAATATGATGTAAACCATAGAGTAGCATCACATTATCATTCTCAGGCTAGTGGGCAAGTTGAATTGACTAATAAAGAAATTATATGTCTCCCTAACCCATCGTTCCTGAATGCTTGTAGGGGTACGGCGCAAGGCCTTTAAAGAGGTGGATGCGGAAGCATGTGACAGCAATTCTTTCAAATATGTTGGTTAATGGGGAAGTGTGTAAGGGCTCAACGATCTCCATTGATGCTAGGGATGATAGGAGGGGGTTGAAGTATCAAGTCCTGAATGAGCAGGAGATGGGAGATCCGTGAGGGGAGATATATTGTTTTTTTTTTTTGAAAAGGAGGTTGAACCACCTGGGGATAATGTTGTTTTTTATTGAAAAGAAGATATGTTGTAGAAGTCACTCCTATAACAAGACGAAAAAAGAAGATGAACATGAATATATAGCGGCAGCTGACATGTTGGACTAAATATGTGGGTTGTTACTGATCTACCCAGGTTTATAGTTTATTATGTTTGCTTTAGATTTATATTTCAGTAGACAGGAAATGATCAAATGCATGTTAACGGTTTTTTCTGTAAATAAAAATAGAAATTAAACCAATCAGTTAAGCCTCAGTTTGAGCTGACTCAACAACTCAATCCTTTTTGGGTGCATAATCGGGCAAGTATCTGCTGCCCATGGCGAAGTGGAAGCATTTGTCCTTCACAAGCCACTGCTCCCAGGATCAAGTAACTAAAGTTTGCAGACCGACCTCCGCGCGTGCTTGCTGACCCGGCGCAACAATACACCCTTTGGGCCAAGTGGCGGCATCTGGGTGGAAGATGAACGCCACGGTGCACCATACAGGAGCATCATCCGCCTTACGTGTATGACCGGGGAGGGAAGAAGAGGAAGCCCATTAGTTACCTAGGCTGAGGAGAAGCGTTGAACACTTTGTTTCAGTCCACATCTCTATTTATCTTTTGTCAGTCTACTATTGATCACGATGTGAACAAATCATGGATTAGAACGTGAGGATCAAGGCAAGAGTATTTCGTTAGTTTAAAGACGATATACATGTTAGCTCCGCCCTTGGCACCACAGATACTGCAAGGCATTTGAAAACGCCTAAGGTGTCGAACAAAAAGGTTCTTTTTTTGCAAGGAAGCACACGTACAAATAATTCATGATAGTTTGACGAGTACTTTAGCTCTCTATTTTTCAATTTGTTCCCTAATTAAGGTATTGTAGCAACTTTTAGTAAGACAAGTGTCACTTGTTACTAAAGAGTCAGGCAATGCTGTGTATTTTTGAGAAAAGCCAAGCAATGCCGTGTATTTTGAGAAAAGCCAAGCCATGCTGTTGATATGTGATTCTTAGGCAAGGAGACGATATGACGAACTACGACCTCAGTATGTGCATGGTAAATAGAAAAGGTCTCACAACCCTCGTGGAATAGTTCACACATCAGGCAAAACATCAAGAATAATATGACACAAATTGATTCCATAATATGATATGGTCATTTGTTGTCGTGCCAGAGAAACAAAAAAATCTTGTTTGGGTTGCAGTTTTTTTTCTCGGTTTGTTATGAAAAAGTTAGGTCGAATAATCTCCCCTTGGAGCAGCGAAACTTTGACCACATGGTGCTACCTCCTATAAGAACTAACTAGCACATATGCCCGTGCGTTGCCACGGGAAAAAATAGTATGCATTTAAAGTTAGTGAGAATTATATGTGCAAACAAATCCCTGTGTGCACGTGAAAAAAGTTCATTTTGTTTCTCGGTTTCTCCGGGTGTGAAGTAATCAATCGCTAAACCCTGTGTGCATCCTCTGCCGCCGGACCAAGAACTGCGCCGCGCTCGTCGGAGCCGCGTGAGTCGGCAAGACGGCCATCGTCGAGGGCCTAGCCCAACACATTGCTGCCGGGACGGTCCCCGACCTTCTCGTTGGAGCGCGCGTCGGAGTGCTCGGTGTCGGGGCGATGAGCGCCAGGACCACCCTGCGCGGCATGTTCAAGCAGCGCTTGAAGGAGGCCATCAAGCAGGCCGAGGACGAAGGCAGTAAATTGATCCTCTTCATCGACGAGATGCACATGCTCATTGGCGCAGGCGATCGAAGCGGCACCGCGGACACCGCCAACATCCTCAAGCCGGCGTTGACCCGTGGTCGCCTCCGCTGCATTGGTGCTACCACCTCTCAGGAGTATTACAGGTACATTGAGCAGGATGTGGCGTTCGAGCGGCGGTTCCAAAAGGTTGAAATCGGGGAGCCGAGCATGCAAACGACCATTGCCATCCTGCGGGGGCTGAAGCAGAAGTACCAAGAGCACCATGGCGTGGAAATCGACGACGAGGCTCTTGTTGCCGCTGTAGAGCTTGCTGCCCGTTATATTACCGGTACGTTTGTGAAATCGTCGAGAAATTATTTGGTCTACTCTTTTAAATTGGTGCATCTTGAAGAAAATTGTGAACTTTTTTGTTCCAGGTCGCATATTTCCTGATAAAGCAATTGATCTCATGGACGAGGCGTGCACTGCGGTAAAGTTGCGTGTAAGCAAACAAAGAGAAATAAATGCACCGGGGGAGATACTGGTTGGTCCAGGCCATGTCACACAGGTCATTCATCTCATGTCTCAGTAGCTTCTACTATTTCATTATTATGCTCTTAGTTACCATTTTCTAATCTTGTATGAAGATTGTGAGCCGGTGGACTGGAATTCCTATCACTACACTTGATCAAGAGGAGGAAAAACTGACTCGTCTAATAGATAGACTTCATGAGCGAGTAGTTGGACAGAATGAAGCACTTAGTTTGGTTGCACAAGCAGTGCTACGTTCTAGGGTCGGCATTGATAAAGCAGGTCAACCGATATGTTCTTTCCTCTTTTTGGGCTCGATTGGTGTTGGAAAGACAGAACTTGCTAAAGCTCTTGCCGAGAAGCTATTTAGTAATGAGAAAATGTTAGTTCATTTTGACATGTCTGAATATGCTGAGAGTGGATCTTTGTCGCGTCTCATTGGAGGACCTCGAAGGTTTGACTTGTAAACTTGTTGCAAGTGTATTCTTTTTTATGCTTCATCATCATGTCTCACCTTTTAATTTAACTTCCTAAAGCTATGAAGAAGAGGGACAACTCACTGAGATTGTCAGGCGCCGGCCATATAGTGTTATCCTTTTTGATGAGGTGGATAAGGCAAACCCCTCAATACTCAAGGTTTTTGTTCAACTCCTCAATGATGGTATGTTGGTTGATGGCAAAGGACGAGATGTAGATTTCAAGAATACAATCATTATTATAAGCTCAAATCTAGGATCAGAGCACCTATCAGCTGAAGTGGCGATGGAAAATGCACGTGATCTTCTCATGAAAGAGGTATGTAAATCAGACCCATACTGTCCCTTGTAAAGTCCTTAGTGATTGATCGTCATATAATACTTATTCATGCAGATTGAGAAATGCTTCAAGCCTGATCTTATCAACAGATTAAGCGAGATTGCGATATTTGAGCCGCTTTCACACAACAAATTGAGGGAAATTGTGAACATTCAAATGAAGAGTATTGTTGCCATGATGGCAAATAAATGTGTTTCTCTATCTGTGACAGATGCCGCCATGGAAGTCATTTTGTCGGAATCACACGATATGGTAAGCATAGCTACTTACTACAATCACACCACAAGAAAGATGTAATATCTAGTTTTTAACGGAAAATGTTTATTTCAGGACTTGTTTGTATGACTTGGTAACCCATGCATCCTTCTTGTATGCTCATAGGTGCACGGTGCGAGGAATATAAAGATGTGGGTACGAAAGCATGTGATGATAATTCTTTCAAATATGTTAGTTAATAGAGAAGCATGTAAAGGCTCAACGATCTCCATAGATGCCAGTGACGATAAGAGAGGGTTGAAGTACCAAGTATTGTAGAACAAGGAGATGGTAGATTTTCAAAGTATTGTACCAAGTATTGTAGAACCAGAGTACCATTCTTATGTAGCGATGTGATTTTCAAAGTATCATGAAGAGTCTCAACTCCTATACAGAGGAGCCGTGATGTATTTATTGATATGTGCGAGAGCCAAGTCTCGTGGGTTACAGATATACACGGGAGGAATAGAGAGATAAGAAGATAAACTGGAAAATCCCCAACTACCCCTAGTCTACATGTGTGACCACGGCCAAACAATGACTCGTGACATACATACGTGAGTTACATAATATTGACAACACTCACCCTTATCACAACTACACTAAGTTGAGATTACGTCTGAATTCTTTAAAGCTTCTAGTAGGCAATGCTTTTGTGAATCCATCTTCAAACTTATCCTTGAAGGAATAAATCTGACCTCTAACTATTTATTTGCAACTCATTCTCTGGCAAAGTGAAAATCTATCTCAATATGCTAGGTCCTGGCATGGAAAACTGGGTTGGCAGACAAATAAGGAGCACCAAGGTTATCACACCAGAGACAAGGAGGTTGTGTTTGCACAATTCTAAGTTCTCTCAATATAGATTGGCCCCAAATAACTTCTGTTGTAGCATTTGCTAATTCTTTGGATTCTGCTTCTGTACCTGACCTGAAAATTGTTGCATGTTTCTTTGCACACCAAGAGATTAAATTTGATCCATAGAATATAGCAAACCCACCAGTGGACCTTCTATCATCCACATAGCCGGCCCAGTCAGCATCAGAAAATGTACTGATAATAGTAGATGATGATTTACTGAGTGTGAGACCAAGAGTCAACGTGCTCTTCACATACCCCGAAATTCGTTTGGCTGCTGTCCAATGAGATGTGATGGGTGCATGAAGAAACATACACGCTTCATTAACTGCAAATGAAATTCCAAGTCTAGTAAGGGTCAAGTACTGAAGACCACCAACTATGCTTCTATAACTAGTGATATCCTCCTGATCCAGGAGTTCTCCCTCTGTCAGTGACAAAGAATCTGAACTAGACAATGGTGTTGGTGAAGGTTTTTAGTTTTGCATGCCAATCATCTTCAACAACTCAGTTGCATATTTGGCTTGAGATAGATGAAGGCCATTATTATTCTTAACCTCAATGCCCAAAAGTAAATGCAAATCTCCCAAATCCCTTAGAGCAAATTCAGAACCTAAATCCTTAAGAAACTTTCTTATTGGTCCCGGTTCGTGCGGCTAAGGCATTAGTCTCGGTTCATTTAGACCTTTTGGTCCCGGTTGGTGGGATGAACCGGGACCAATGGGCCTCGCTCTTGGCCCACAACCATTGGTCCCGGTTCGTGCCACAAACCGGGACTAAAGATTAGACCTTTAGTCCCGGTTTGAGGCATGA